TTGGGTTGACGGTTGGACTCGATGATCTTAGAGGTCTTTTCCAACCTTAATGATGCTATGATTCTAACATATAGTGCTTGGATTCCTTCCACATTTAAATTTCACTTGAAGTTTCATTTACTCCTATTCTCTCGTCATTTTAGTATATATCCCAAGGGAAATGCAAATTACAGAAGTTTTCTTAAAGCTTTCTATATCTCCGGACAGTGGCAACGATGAGCTACAGTTCTCAAAACTAAACAACTGAACTGTGGGAAGGATGAAGGGGGCGGATTGCCTGCAATAGCATCACGACCCAAAGTGCTTCTGAAGCTCTATGAACTCTTGAAAAAGCTCTGCGTTACCAAATACTACCTTTTTGGGGCTAATTATGAGCGATTAAGTTAATAATCCTTAACCCTAAAACAGTCTCTTCAATGCTTATGTATGTGGACCACTTATTCCATCCATAGAATTCACTGCTTTCTGCAAAATACTTGTAATCTCTTTTTAATTGCAATTCTTTAATAGAACTTTATTTCTTGACTCAACTCCACACGGACCCACATTACTAGAGTTTTTGTCATTTCGAGAAACATTAAACTTTCACCAATTATTTCTGGCAAATACACAGATACTTTGAGAAGGAACAGACTGCTTTTACCTTTAAAACAGAATGAGCAGATCCATTTCTTCCTTCTCTTCCACAAAATCAGCCATCGCAGCTTCTTCTTCCCCCTATTCATACAATTCTATGCAATGCATAGCAAGGAAAGCGGGTCCTGCTTAAGAGCAAGGTATGTTTTTTTGCAGTAGAGAATCTGAGGTCTTCTGTAAGATGGCTAGAAACACTGTTCCTAGCCACGAAAACAAACCCAGGATTTTAATCTAGTTTGACAGCGTGGAACAACACTTAATGGCAAAATGAAGTTATGACACACTGATTAAAAAAGAACTTTCTTTCACCAGACTGTTATTTAATGTAAACACAATTCTGCAGAAATCTCAGCTCCGGTCTCCGTTGCACCACAAGAAGATACAAAGAAGGTTCATGTTTGTACCTACCTGGAGAAAAGTTTAAATGCACTTATAGTTTCATGGGATGAAGGAAAATTTTAAGAGCTTGATTTTAAAGACACTTTAAAACCAAAAGACAGGTACGAGCGCAGAGGGTACTTTAAAAATTTACTCATTACAACGCATTGAAATTTATAGCCAACTGAACTTCTAGCACTGCATACCATTATTTCAAGTTAGTATATCAACAAACTGTGAGCTATAATTGACTTGT